GATGTGGGGCTCGATTTTGCTGCTGAAAGCCACAGATTTGAGCTGGCGTATGGACTGTAAGGTCGTCGATGCTACAGTACGCGGAGGGGCTCTTTTTTCGGTGAGCTTGGGCCTGGGCCCGTGGAGGCGATATGGACAGAAGCTGGTCGCGCGTGGGTGGCTGGAAACAAGGTGAAACGGGGTCGCCGGAGGTGCTAGTGTGTGTATGGCCCGCCGCTAGCTATAGGTCGCCGCGCTACAGTGGCGCACGTGAGAGGACCCGACAGAGGTGCAGCAGCGCCCCCGTCTTGGTGGAGCAAGGCTGGGACCTCGAGCTTGAGAACACGACGAGGTGGCTGCGGGTCTAGGTCGTCAAAAAACAGAGCTGAGCAGTGGCGTAAAGGTGGAGCTCAGACGTGGGTTCATCTGCGATGGGATGGAGCTTGCTGGCTGTGGGTGACTGGTTTTTCGTGGGCTTGAGCTGGGAGGCTCGAACTGGGTCTTGAGGCTCGCCGACGGCGGCGGTTTTGCCAGAAAACGGGGGTGTTCGCCGGAGATGGCTCAAGCCATGCTTGAAGGTGGAAGAAGCTTCTTTTTTTCTTGGTTTTTTGAAAGTGGGTTTTTGATTTTAAGGCTAGATCTTGAAAAAGAGCTAAGACATCTTGTAGATTTTGTAATAGATCTTGGAAAATGAGGATAAAATGTTTGGATCTTGAATTTTGCAAGAATGATGATGATGAATAGTGATTTTGTAGGCTAGGGTTTTCTTGGATGATGGGGTGTTGGGAGACAAGGGAGAGCAACTATTTATAGCATGGTGGGAGATTAGGGTTTCTTTCTCTTGTTGGGCTTTTATCGGGCTTAAGAGTCGGGCTAGAAATGTTACTCGAATTGGGCTCGATAACTCTGAGATAAAGATGCAATATCAATGAAGGTTGCGATGAAATATGAGATGGGGTCAATAGACTCCAATCAGGTGTGGGATCTTGTAGAACCACACAAGGGGTATGATCCATTCGATGCAAGTAGGTCTACAATATAAAGATAGGATCAGATGGGAAGGTTGAGACCTTCAAGGCTAGGCTTGTTGCGAAAGGGTATACTCAGAAGAGAGAATCGATTATGATTAAACCTTTTTCATCAGTGACATGCTTTAATCCATTTGGATTCTTTTAGTTGTAGTCGTTCATATGGATTATGAGGTCTGACAGATGGATGTCAAAACCGTTTTCCTTAACAGAAATCTTCAAGAGGACATCTATATGCACCAATTAGAGGCTTTCATCGATAAGGGACATGAGCATCCGGTTTGATGAGGTGATCCACTCGTAAGGGTTCACTTAATGTCCGGATGAGCACTGTGTGTAGAAGAAGTGCAGTGGAAGCGTGGTGGTGTTTCTTGTGCCTTACGTAGACGACATACTTCTTATTGGAAACAGTAAGAAGGAGTTATCTAGATAAGGAATGGTTGTTAAGAAGTTTGATATGAAGGACTTAGGTAAAACATGACACATTCTCGGTACTAGGTAATTCTGGACCGCAAAGAGAGAATGTGTTGTTTATCCTAGTCTACATACATAGATACAGTCTTGGCCAATCCAACATGCAGGATTCCAAGAAATTAATGTCACCTTTAAGACATGCAATATATTTGATGTAGGATATTATACCTCAACAGGTACACCGGTCTAACGAGCGGTTCGAACAAAGTCGAATATAGACAAGACCGGGCAGGGCAAAAAGGATATAAAAGAGCACGACCGCAGTCAGATCACCTCAGTATCGAGAGGGCGAGAGTCCTGGTACAAAGGGCAGTTTAGAAGGCAATAAAGTCTGGTCGATTAGAAAAGAGATCGAGTAGAGAGTTGTCCAAGTGGTGGACACAAAGGTTAAGAGCGACCTGGTGGTCGAGCACCCAGTAAGGGAGGCAGGACGTAAGATGTTTACTTGGATATGATCAAAAAACGACGAGCTTCTAACAGAATTGCAGAGGTGTCAGTGATACGTCAGCGAATCGTGAGGGAATATTTTACTCAATGTGCGGAAGACACGTGGCGCGAAGATATTGGTGCAGAGGATAGTGAAGACGGTTACCTCTGACACATGCACATTGTGTGTGTGTGTGTAGGAACGGGCAGACCCGGGCAACCAACTCAGCAGATCCAGGCAACTCCTAGGGCAGGTATCTCACCCCTATATATATGGGGTGAGCTTTTCTTGTTGGACACGATCATTCTATTTTCACTCTTGAGAATTGATTGAGCAAACACTGACTTAAGCTTTGGAGGCTTTTCAGCGGAAAACCCCTCCGGTGTGAGAGTTCTTTGTAGTTGCACGACGTTCAACCGACGAGAAGGAAGGCGATTACTCGGATTCCAGCCAGTCGGAGAGTTTTGTGTTAGCAATCTCTATCTAAGAAGATGTCTTCTAAGACAACTCAAGAGATAGATGACATAAAGACAGTTCCTTATGCTTCGACAGTAGGAAGTCTCATGTATGATATGTTGTATATGAGTCCAAATGCTAGCTACGCCCTGGGCATGACAACTATATATCAAAGTAATCCAGGAATGCAACATTGAAGTGCAGTGAAGCATATACTCATGTACCTGTGAATGACTAAGTAGTACATGTTAGTTTACCGTGCAGACGGCTTGTTATCGATGAGTTACAATGATTCTAATTTTTAGTTAGATGGGGATGAGAGTAAGTCAACCTCAGGTTATGTGTTCATCTTTGGAGGTGCAGTCGTTTCATGGAGGAGTTCTAAGTAGAAATGCGTAGCAGAATCCATTATGAAAGCCTAGTACATCGCAGCCTCTGAGGAAGCAAAAAAGGCAGTTTGACTCATTAATTTCTTAGTGGCCTTAGAGGTGATTCCGAGTTTTCCACGAATTATCACCGTACATTTTGATAAAAGTGGAGCAGTAGCATACTCAAGGGAACCATGAGACCACAGAGAAAGCAAGAACATAAAGTGCAAGTACCACCTGATACGAGATATCGTAGGAAGAGGAGACATCGAGGTTGCCAAGATTGCATCATAGAACAACATAGTTAATCCTTTCACGAAGAGTTTGCCTAGAAAGGTCTTCATCAAAAACGTGGAAGGAATGGAAGTCAGATGTATGGGCATAGGATTGACATTGATCTTTCAGAATAACGGATTGATATGACTATACTTGTAAAACCGGAAGCTTTAAGTAAAGTGGGATATTGTTGGTGTTATATACTGAAAGCTTGACTTTAGATGATATTACACTTTATCTTTATTGAATGAGAACATGTTTGAATAAACATAGGTCGATGTTCTTTTGTTTGCACTTAGATAAAATAGATCATTATCAGGTGAACAGACGATTATTTTATCAGTTACTTGCGAAACAAGATATATTGGTTCACAACCTAGATATAAATGAACAAACCATCAGAACGGTTGTAATGTTAACTGTACGGTTGGTCTTGATTGATTAGTTGCACTAGTACATTTATGTATTAAACATGATTCCAGAGAGTAACAGTTTGTTTTATAATGATTGTCGTAAATAAACTTAAGTCTCGGTTAATTACTGCAATCTCTTAACCCGTAATATATAAACATGCATGCACATATGGTAATTATTACTTTGATTCACATAAGTGAGATTCAGTTTACGGAGTCGACATACTTTCTGTTTTGGGTAATATTATTATGTGTACGATGTGCTGTCAGAATATTTACGGTCACCATGTGCGACAGTTTGATGATGTCCCCGTAGAGAGTTCATGAAGGATTGTTATGTTAAACCTTGCAGGTAGATTAAGTTCCGGTATAATAATAACGTAATGAACGGCGCTAGCTTTGGAATTATAATATATAATTAATTCGTAATTAATTGAATTAATTAGTGGACATTATATTTTAAACGTTGGGAGGTAAACTGAGTAATTATAATTGTAGTCTGGAATATAATTTTGAGAAGGATAAGGAAGTTCAATAATATTTTCGTTAGTGGACCAAAACATTATTTAAGTAATGGCAAGAGTGGGCTTGACTCACAGTTAGGCCCAATGCTTAAGGAACCCTAGTCCTCAGCAACTTAGTATCCTTGTTGTAGCTCTATATATACATCATTAAGCTCATGGGTTGAGAGACACACAACCTAACGTGATACACGTTCGACTGCCCCTCTCTCTCTCTCTCTGTCTAGTTCCCATAGTCTAGCCTTATATTCGTCGTGTTGTTCTACTGGTACATTCGAAGAGGTGTTCAAGATATACAGTAGAAGATCCCGAGGTACCAAGACCCCGTGATTCTCAACCAGCAATCAACCCCATGATTGCCAGACGACCACCACCGTCGGCCTCCGTGAGCCGCAGTCTACCGCCGCAAACTGTGCACGCCGACGGCATCGCGAGACGATGCAACCCGCACGCAACTGCGATGACCCCGCAGCCCGGCGACCACCACACGCACCCCGTCGACCCTACACGACTGCCTCAGCACCGTGATCCCAGCGCACTCCAGCGATCCTGCTCGACGCGATCCGCGTTCTCCCGACCACTGCTCCCGTGATCTTTTCGAGTTCGACAAGAAGAATTCGGCTGCCCATCGAATTTTGAGATCAGATGATTTTCTACAACGATAATCTAAAATGTTTTAGAGTCTGCGAATATTAAGCCGCAAATATTCAACTCTAAACCTTTAGATCTGTTGTGCACAGGTTTATTGTTGCTATTGAATTTATGACTTGTGCATAACAAGATCCTCACCGATCCCAACAATTTTCTCCCCTCCTTTACATGGTTAAAAGACCTTATTATGTGCCTTAGAATTATCTCATTAAGGTAAGTCAATATCCAAATTGATGGCGCTTAATTCCCTTACCTTTACTTAAGCAATCCCATTACTTTTTTCTTTATTTTTCCTCACGCAGCTTTGCTCTTGTTTCTTAGAGTGTTTATTAAAAAATTTTCCCCCCAAAACTCTGAAGATAAACTGAGAGAAATCACCATTAAAATTGTCCCTTGAATCCATATTTTTATTTCGGCCTCCACTGCGCGTGGTTCTTAGAGTGTTTATTAAAAAATTTTCCCCCCAAAACTCTGAAGATAAACTGAGAGAAATCACCATTAAAATTGTCCCTTGAATCCATATTTTTATTTCGGCCTCCACTGCTGCCCCACGCGCATTGCCCGCTCGCACGCCAGCAGCCCATCGTCGGACGCACGCCATCTAGCGAGACGACCTCAGCTATCAGATTGACCCCCATGCCCTTCGTCCAGCAAATCGAAAAACCTCTGGCCGTGCCCTTTGCCGAGATCGATCAGCCATTGTTCGACCCGTCCTCGCTGCCCTTCGCGCGAGCAAACCCTGCCCACGTGTTTGGTTTAATTTCCCACATCGTATGTAAACCAAAGATGTGTATGATCTTTTTAATATAAATAGGTCTGTTGCCTTTGGCTTACAATTGCATCTTATTCTCTTCTCTAATATCTTAGAAGAAAATTCTTAACTAACGAAATACTAAATTGTGAGTTATGTAACCTTAGTTGTATTTTATTGGTGAGTTTAGTGAATTTGGCATTGCGGTTGGCGGTGCTCGGAGACGTAGACAATATTGGTAGAACTCCTTAATCAATTGTGTGTGTTTCTTTTCATTTCTCGACATTTATTTATTTGTGTTGGCTTATTTTGTTAGCAGTAATTTGCCATGATTTGTTGTGAGGTAGTTTGTCATACCTAGGAAGACTCATGTAAGGGACTCGATCGGATCACTGCTTGTTCAACCAACTCAGAGGCTCGAATATTGCATGATTTTTACTCAAATTTCGTTTTTCCATTTTTAAGGTAAATGAATATATTGAAGTGTACAACAACAGACAAAAACAAAAAAAGTGGACTGAGAAATAGATAAATGAACTCAAAAAGAGCTGGCAACTATATAAAGACACATATGTTCTAGATTAAAATCTCCAAGATATTGGGAGTGTGGTTAACGGCCACTTCTTTTCTTTGGTTCAGTTTAATATGTTGCAATTATGCTGCACTACGTAACAACCTGAAGCCAATTGAAAGACTGGTACAAAGAGCGCTTTTATATAACTTTGAATCAAAATCATTGTGTAGAAGAAATTTTACACATACATATATCGTAGTAACAATACGAATTATTTTTATTCCTAATTAGTGAAACTATATTTTCCAATTTTTCCTAAGCTACATTTTCAGTGAACATGCTGAGATAGGATCAATGATGATGGACTTCACTCTGTTTCTTGAAATGATGGTTGGTGTAGTATGAGCATCTCCATGTTGGTATTGGCATAAGGCGATTCGGGCCAGATTACAACACGTATCAATAAAGTTACTGTCAAAAATAAAATTACCAGATATTTGTTTGTTCATATGTCTCCAGTTCTGATCTATTAGTTTCCTTATATTTACATGAGCATCTGCAACGAGCGAGCCAGTTTCATTCATATAACACGACACTGCTTTGGCAACTTCTCCTCTTTCTCCATCTTCCTGCAAATATATCTTAATGATGAGCAATTGAAGTATTCTTCGGCTTTATATTGTGTTTCTCATATTGATTCGTTAGAAGAAGATAATGGATCATGACTGAATGGGTTCGAATATGGATATCGATGATTAATAGTTGACATCAAATCATTATATTAGTAGTTGTTCGACCTCAACAGCAAAAATAATAATAAACACTCATGTTAGACCATCAAAAAGCATGCATGGAGTCTCTTGTATTAATTAAATACAAATTACATATTTGTACCTGAGAGGAACTTAGATCATTCGCCAACCGGAAGATTGTACATGGAGAACGCATCAAATTGTTGCCGTAAGCACTGAAATGTTTGATAGCTTCATCTGTAACATTCTGAGTGACTAAGAAGTAGGCATGAGTCAACAGTACAGCCCCAGAAGATGAAACCCATCCATGATTTAGGTACTCATCAAACTTGGGAATGTGGTTGTTGTGTCTCCACTTTGCTTCTTTTAAGAATGCGTCGCATAAATCCGCCCACTGATCCAAAATAAACAAGTAAAATATGTATTAAATTTCCATGATCTGTATGTCGATTGTCAGGACAATATATTGAACTTACCACTTGTCTAAGTTGCGAAATCACGACTTGGTCGTGCTCCTTCAAGGTATCATAAGCCAATTCGTTCACCGTGTTGTAAAGCGCCAAGAAGAATATTTTCATATAGTCAGGGAGATGATCTACAGAATTGACATCCCATCTGGATTTATAGAACACGTTAGATCAGTGTTACTTATTCATTTTTGTGCATAAAAACTTATACACACAACTTTTGGTTTAAGGTTAAGAAAAATGCTAACGGAACCATTTCGTCGGGATTTGTGACCGTCATGAATAGTTGATGTAACGGTTACAAACCCCGACGGAATGATTCCGTAACGGGACCGTAGAATCTCCCTAAGGCGAAACAGTGAAAAGTAATGAATAGAGAGCTGGTTACCTGTGGACAGCATGCGTTAGGTGTTGAAGGTCTTGAGGAGAAGCGTAAACATCATAGATATCATCTAGAACAGTAATTAGGTTGACCACTTTGGTTAGCCCAACACGACATTTCCCAAACTGAGGTTGAGGAACCATTCCAACTGTCCACATGAAGCTTTCCATTAGTCTGTCTCTTGCAAAACTTAGTTTATTTGCAAGGCCCACCTCTCTCCACCACCTGAAAATGTTGTGTCGTTTTATAAATGGAAAGACGTATATGTTGGAAATTTAATTTAGATGAGCTTTCAATAGTAGGCCATAGCTAATAACCATATATTCATTTTTATTTTTATTTTTATTTTTATAATTAAAGAAAGACAATAATTAGTGGTGGGCTAGAACAATAATTAATTAGCTTTCTTATGTATTATTTTTTTTTATGTTTTTTCTAAAATAATATATTTGTTGATTTGTTTTTTTACCAAACGTGTAGCATAGTTATCTTGTGTTTCACATGAAAAAAAAAAATAATAATAACAACAATAATAATAATTAATAATAATAATAATATTAATAAAAGAAAAAAGGAGATTAAAACGATAAGATTAAGAAGATGAAGAGCATGTTTGTTTACAAAATAATTCATTTACATTCAACTCATACTCAACTTAAACTAAACCTCACTATCTTTGATATTTTTTTAATATAATTAAATAACACAAATCAATTTATTCTTACATATCACATCAACTTTAATTCATCATTCATTCATTCATATAATTTTAACTAATTATCACTTTACTTTCCATCATATCTCTCATACTTTTATATCAAATCAATTTTAACTATTTTTATCTTAAATATTATTTAAATATTAAATCAAAATCTTACTACAATCAGCCATTTAACTTTTTCAATATTATAACCATGTTTAATCGATAAAACTAATTTTGAGCGCATTTATTTGTATACAAGCACGAGCTGAGTACCTGGACAATTGTTGCAGTTCATGTTGGTGTACTGACTGCACCATGTTGAAATCCATTATGGCTAAGTGGTGTAGTAATTCATTCTTCCCATCATACATCTCAATGTTCCATCTCGCTTCCAATCTTTGCATTCGATAGTGAAATGGAAGTTCCAAAGCATGGCTCACTCGAATTGCGCTTTTCGTGTCCATGCTCATCAACATTATATTGTCGAGGTGGAAGCCTGTAAATTCTCTGGCCTCCTCCAAAATACTCTCCCCATCAAATCCCAGATAAGAAGCTTCATGCAAACTTAACATTCCACGAATATCTGTAGCTAGCGTTTCTTTGAAATCTCCGTTTGAATCTTTGAACCTCTCAAATATGTCTTTTTCCATTAAAAAGTAAAACAAAATTAAACATGCATAATTAGTTAAAAAATCGTGTCAAAGGTTCCTTTAATAATCGGGAGAAGATGGTGTGATCCCACGCAGGAGCTTAAGTGCACTTTAGTGAGATTCCATCCCAAAATCAATTGATGATGACAAGAGTGGGAAGTAACCCACTAGGCTTATAAACTAGGTTCATTTTCTTTATCAAATAAATGTGGGACATTTCGCAAGTGATATTTCAACAGTGTCTAGTCCCAAATGTATAACGTGTACCTGCTGAAATACTGAGGCCGAGTTGTCGAGCAAGCCTGAAACAGAGAGCACAATCATGCAAATCATGGATGATTTTGTGGTTGGCTTGCCAAGACGGGATTGAAATCAGTAAACTGCGGATGGCTTTTTCAGTGTGCTTTCGGAATTTATAACCGAGTCCCAGACGATGAACATCATCAATTAACTCGAGCAACTCGGATTCCTCCAAGCACTCATTCTCAAGCAACCACCTAATTTCGTTCTCCATTTCCTTTAACTTGTGATTCTCACCTTCGGCCTTCTTGTCAATTTCCTTGAAAGTAATTAATGACAGGAAATAATTAGTAGTTAATAGTAAGTATACAACTAAAAACTGTCAACTGCTGGACATACTCGATATCTACATATCACTGAATGCCACAAAAGTTGTGTTATATTGATTAAAATGTTACTCACCACATGGTCGTTTTGATGAGTCCCTAGCGATTCCATCAACTCGTAACTCCACGAACTTGGCTGGTAATGTTGTTTGGTCGCTACCGAACAACGAAATCCCCATTTTTGTTGGGAGATTTTCGGAAAAAAGTTATAGGTATTTTTGTTAGATAATAAGTGGTTTAGAGAGGAGTTTTGGAAGGGCTTGATCCTCATGATGCAGCTATAGGCCATGGCTTGATCCAACTACTTATTTATATTTTGCTACCAAGAGTTGATTATGAGTAAACGTTGCTTTACCCTTCGCCATATATATATACTGGAAAAATATGAGTACAATGAGGCAGGCAATTGGGGCCATTAATCCGCGTTTCTTCCTTGTTTTTTTTTTTTTTTAAAAGGATCATATTAAATTGAGATGAGAGAAGGCAATTATGTGCATGTCATTTTCATACTGTAGAATCACGTACACATGAAATTTAAAAACCATGTGTGTTTGAGAAACTGTTACTTAACATCATGTGTGAATATTTAGAAGATTCCTATGTCTATCAAAATTAATTAGTGTGATGTACAGTGGCAGATTTAGAAAAAGATTAAATTGAATTGAGGAGATGTATAACTTTTAATAACACACATTTTAATAAAAAAAAATCTAATGTATGTTAATATTATTTATTACTATAATTAGTTTAAATTATGCAAATAAATTTAAAACGAAATATTTCATACAAATATTTTACAAATTAAATATACAGACGCGTTTTTTTAGAATTTAATATTTAATAAAATTTAGACAACGTTGATAGCAGTTGTAAAATAAATTCATTCTATAAACAAGAGATTTTTTTTTTTTTTTTCATTTGCATCTTAAGACTTTATAGTTTATTTACCATGATATGCAATGGAAATATATTTAACAAGAATTTCATTATGGAAAGAGATCAAAATAAAAAAAATGATAAAACAAAAAAAAATAATCATGGTTGACACCAATATACAAATAAATTACATGTCGAAACTCTAAAGAATTATTAATATACTAGTACAACACCCGTGTATTACACGGGTGGTTGCTAATTTTTTTCTTAAAATCTAAAATTAATGAGAAAAAGTAGTTGGAATTTTAAATACCTTTTACAAAAATATATATATTATTATATATTTAGTATGACACTTTTTATTTGTGCGACTTATCTGTGTCATATTATAATAATTTTTTAACTTACAACATATTACTATATTAAAAATAAATATATCAATTGATAAATAATTTTATTTTTCTATTGAATTTTAATAAATATTATTATTCATTATTATTATAAAGATAAATATAATTTATTTATTTCATATATACAATATAGATGTCAAATCGAAGATCATCAAAAGATGATTAATTTGATATATAATATATGTAAAATCAATAAGAAATACAAAAGTTATCAACTTTAAAATACATTTACAACTTATTAGCTAATTGAAGGAAACAAATCAAATTCAGGGATATATTAGTCACTTAGTGCCTCACTATATAAAATTACAAATAATTAAATGGTTATATTAGTACAAGTGATATTAAAATACCTAAGTTAGATAAATAATATTTATAGAATGTCCGAACCTAGATTATTAATTATTAATATATCAATATTATTTGTCCAAACCTAATTACGAAGCATGATTCTTCGCCAAGTAGGATTACAAAACACCAGAATCAGCCACGTAGGCTCAGCGCATTCGGGAATTATATATAGGGAGGATTTCTATTTTGTTATTTGGGCATTAGTAAAACTATTTAAAGTATCTCGTCATTATCTCTTAAAGGGTAAATTATATTAATTTGAAGAATAATTCTATATATATCGAAATAAAGCTTAAGAAAAATTATATTGACAAATATTAATTTACCAACTTGATTTCTATAAATATTTTAGGATAAAAAGTCAATATTTGTGAAATAAATAGTAATAATATGGTAACTTTGTTATCATCCGAAACGGTAATCCACTATTAAAAGCCTTGAATAGTGTCTCAGGAAATTTAACACCCACACGGACCTGGTCTGACGTTACCCCAGTTCGCATAACGAACCGATATGACCATAGGAGACCGACGTGACCATTATCAACCGAGGTAAACCCTACCGAGATCAACACGAACCGAGGTCGTCACCCCTTAAACAGGTGACAAGGCGCCTACACGCCATTCTCACAAACTACGAGATCTGCTATCATTCAAGTGGGGCCCACTGATCCTGCCGCCCATCAAAAAGTAGCTTTATAGAAAAAAACAATGCACGAAACCCGATATGTGTATAAAAAAAGTTACTATAAATAGCGAACTGATATTATTTGTACGGGATTCGAAACCCGAACGGAACTTCGTTGTTATGAAACACGAAACAGCTCACAGAAGCTTTTCACCTCGGTTCATCTCGGACCGGGGCCATTGTTGAGTATTTCATCCATCTTTACGTACGAATCATTCATAATCATTAAATAAATACAGCATTAGATAGTTGTTAAGAATTACATAACAACAGTTTGGCGCTAGAAGGAAGGGCCTCATAAGTTATTTGAGGTTAATCTCCGATTCTTGTTATGTTCTCCACATCAACTGCTGCAACCATGTAGCATTCGAATCATCGTGGTCATACATCGCGAGATTGCCACAGTCGTAGTGCTGCTCAATCTGGCAGACGTCAAACGGCAGCTCCCAATATCCCAGATTACACTGTTCTGTTCTAAAATCCGGAGTTTGCACGTGGGTTTGCCGCTCTGATGGCTCAAACAATCCCTGGAACATCAACGACTGCACCAGGACATTCCATAATACCCACGACCCCAGCTAATCCGCAAATTCCACCGGCGCGACAAGACGGCGGCAGTACCACTTCTCATGCCACGTCTCAACCTCGTAGTCGAACGTCGCAGCCGCACCCAGAACAAACCACCCGTCACGTTGACGTAGGGCGTACTCCCCTCGTGATTCCTCGTGAAGAAACTGCCGAGTGTCAATCTGGACATTCACGACGTTCACCACCTCATACGCAACACCGAGTCCCCTCCAATCCGGCGCAGACAGACCTTCATCAACACATTGAAAGGAACCGAGCTCGCCAAGAATCCTCCGAACTTGAAACGTTACGACGAAGGATTGCCGAATTGGAGAGTCGACAAAGAATGCCCGAAGACCCCCCTCAATGGACCTCGACCTCGGCGCAAGTATACCTGGAAGCCGACTCCCCTTTCACGCCAGAACTCACTTCGGAACCTGTACCTGGAAAAGTTAAAGTTCCTCAAATCGGGTTATACGATGGGACTTCGGACCCCGACTCACACCTCGGTCACTACACTTCGTGGATGGACCTACATGTGGCCTCAGACGCACTTCGGTGTCGCATGTTTTCCCTTACGCTGGGGCCTCGGGCTCAAGAATGGTACCATTCTTTTCCTCCTCATTCTATTTGGAAGTGGCAACAGTTGAGGTCGGTTTTCCGATCTCACTTCATCGGGGCCCAAGTTTGTTTGATTCCAAAAAAATCCCTTGCAAAGGTAACTCAAAAAGACGATTGTTTGTCTCATTTTTGTTGCGTTTTTTGTGTTTATTTTATCTTTTTTTTTCCCCCGTTTTAGGTTGTTTCTTCAGTTTTTTGTCCGTTTCGTGTTTTATTATGTGTTTTCCTTCATTTTGAGTCATTAGGTGTTTTTTGTTTGTTTTTCCGGTTTTCTTTTGTGTTTTGTCGTTTTTGGTGTGTAGATCGAAAGATTTGGGCGAAATTTATCTTCAGAAAAAGTTGGTTTCGAGAGCATAACTGGACAGAGGGGTTCGTTAGCGACGCATAGGAAAAAACGGAACTCAATTCCGAGTTCGGACAAGCTCAAACGAGGCAAAAACGCAAAATGGTGCAGTGCAGCCCAGAATCTCGCGAGTCGCGAGCACAAAGTCGCGACTCGCGAGAGAAAAAGTCGCGACTCGCGACTTTAACAGAGCCTCCAGCAGCCCAGCGACCCGTCCAACTCGCGACTCGCGAGTCAACTCGTGACTCGCGAGTCGCGACCCTGTCGACCCCTGTTTTTATTTTTGCTCGTTTTTACTCGTTTTAGCTCGGTTTTTCGCGCACTATATATCAAATCGAACCTCCAGACCTAAGGAACAACCCTCAATATCGTTCCTTTCAAGTTTTCTCTCCAAAAACTCAATATTTTAGGATAATTTTCTCCGCTTTTCTTTTTATTTTCTCATGCTTGGATTGTTGGACACAAAGACATTGGGATTGAAATCTTTCAAGTCTTAATCCGATTGTAAGTTTTTCAATTTTACTTTATTATTGTTGATTGGTTTTATGTTCTTAATTCCAGTTAACATGAGATTGAATCTAAGCATGAGGTAATCTATTCACCTAGGGTTAGGGATTTTGATTCTTGTCTGAATTATGTAGAATGTGTTTTGTTCAATCTATGCGAGTTGTGTGAATTATAGGGTTAGTTGATTGATCACCATTCTAACCTAGTTAATCGGCGTTTAGAACCGAGAGGGGAGGCGTTGGTCGATTTAGGCTCGTATAGAGTAGATATGTTCGGAAACGTATTGTCTATGTGTTGCTTGTTTGAATAAGTTTATCGTTTATGTATGTGCTCTTGTTACGAAGAGTTATTGAGCACAGCCCTCTAGACGTGTAGGCTTGTTAAATCTCGTAACCGAACAAATAAGCATTCAACATAGTTTAAGACTTGATGAGATATCCCGACCCCTAGAACTTCTTCCTTTTCTCTAGAAATTTAATTGTTATTTCTTTAAATTGCTTTTCTAGTTTTGGCTTGTTTTAGTTAACTCTCCAAATCAATCGTGATTAGAATGTTTAGGATTTATTTTCTTTTCGTGTGTGATCAATACCAATGCTAAATTCCAAACCGTCTTCCTTGAGAGATCGACCCGGGGAACGAATCTTTTGATTCGGTTCTCGGTAAAAATAAAAATAATTTGCTACAACAACGATGAAAGCGTCAAGGACTATATTGCTCGATTCAACGACCGAGTTCAGAATATGGAGCCGT